AAAAGTTGGCACTCCTCAGTCTTTATGAAGCATAAACAGTATACAGAGTATGATATAAATACTGAAGTCTAAAAGTTAAAATGCTAAAATGTGATGTCACAGTCTTTTCTGTTTGGTACCCTTTCTATCAAGGCACATAATCCACTCAGTTTTCATCTCATATCTAATGGATTCCTATGGTTCATAGATATGCTTTAAAATATTACTGAATAAAAATAGCACATGTATTTATCTTTATTCAAAAACCTCTTAATAATGTAAGAAAACAAAACTCTTCTCTCAGCTCTTCTTCAGTACACAGAGGGTTTTTTTTTTTTTAAATAACTTCTGTCTACAATTTAATTATAGTATCCTGTAAAGTCGTGCTTTTAGTATCTGCTCTCAGAAGAGAACTGTTTGTCAAATTTCCATTAGGTTGAAGGTAAAAAATTAATGAGCCACTTACTTTAGATATTTCAAAACTAATGCAAGTCTATTACTCATGCAGCACAAAAAATCAAAGATTTGGGTATATTTAATTATAATTTAGGGTTCACTCGTACTTAACATTTAAATACATTGCTTCATAAGCTTAATAGAGCATTCTAGAGAAAAATGGAATGCAGTTATTGATTTTTTTAATAACATAAATATATCTTAAATATGATTTTATTTATTTAAAGACTTTTTATCTACATAAGTTAATTTTAGGACAAGGATAATCAGTGAATTGATAGGGTTAGACAGAATTTGAAAGTTTTTTAATATGTCTGCTGGGAAATAGTATTAGTTATCTAGGGAGAAATCATAATTATATAGCAAACATAGAATTATAATTTATTATTCAATTGTACCCCTACTCTGTTTTGTAAGGACTCAGAAAACCATTAAGATATAGGCATTAAGATTATTTTTCAAACAATTGTTGATTCTTTTTTCTACCATTAATTATTGAAAGCCTGTTATGTACCTGACAACGTGCTAGGCATTGTGTAGATGTAGATGACTTGGTCCTTGCTTTCAAAAAGTTATAGTTCAGAGGGAATCAACAAAGTGATTTTACATAGTGATAATGTTAACTGAAAGTAACAAGCATTGCAAAAAGGGTGCAGATATATCACACAGAGCTGAGGGTGCCAGAGGAAGCTTCACGTAGAAGATGATTTGTAACTTGGGCTTTGAAGGCACCAAGTGCTTTAGACGTGTGTGATGTATGAGAAGGACAAACGACGTAGAAGGAATGGCTTAAGCGAACACATGGGGGATGTAGCTCATGGAGTACGTAAGGATAAAGCTTAACTAGGAAATAATATTGAAACATAAGTTTTGAGGTTGTGAAGGGCCTTGAATGGCAAGCTAAAGAGTTTGGTATTTGAATTGGGGAGAGGTGAAATCATACAGCATCTTAAGAAATTTCCACATTCATGAAAACTTCAAAACAGTAGACTGCACATTGAACATCAATATTATTTCATTATTTCATGCACATTAAAAGCTCCAAAGGTAATGGCTGAGAGAGAAAGTACATACTGGGAAAACCAGATGCCTATCCCAGAGTTTTCTAGCTAGTTGGAACAGACATTGCCTATGCTTTGAAACATGAATCAGTTTATCCTCAAGTGCAGCCTGGAGCGGTAGACTTGAAGCTCGTCACTTTTGGCTGAGAGGAGCTTCCTGTGGTCTGAAAATCCCCTTAGGTTTACCTCAACAGGCTGTACAACTACTAGCACCTTCTACATAAACGGTGCAGGGCCTGCTTCCCTGGCATGCCACCTGTGCAGTCTCACAGAGTCCCCTCTCTGAAGGGCCCCACACTTGATTTAATGCTCTGCTGTTGCCATATTGAAATTCTTCATACTTTCTGAACAAGAGATCCCACATTGTCATTTCACTGTGGGTCCTACAAATTATATAGCCACTTGTGGTTCCATGAATATGAAATCTGTTGGGAAATAATGACCTACACTGTGGTCAGAATGCACTATCGTATATAGCTACATAAGGGGACAATGAAATTATGAGGCCAATACTGCTCTTATGCAACAAAATATATTCTAAGTTGAAATCTTTATTAGTTTGTCTTCAAAGCCATGACTTCCATGGCTGCCACAGTCCTAAGTTAAATATAATATTTTAGCCTTTTGGTCTTCCAGATGATAAATTAAGGAAACACTTCTGTAACATGTTTTATCATTTGTAATCTACCTCCTCCTGTAGCCTAGATACCAGCATCATTGAGCTTTGCGCCCTCTGAAGTCCCACCAAATTAAATCCCGAGAAAAACTGTTAGCAATTATCTTCCCTAATAAAAGTTCTCAAAAATACAGCACTACATTTGGAAACATCACTTGCTTCCGGATAGAGTCATTGTGTTGTGTATTTCCTTTTCTGTGTCAGTAAAAATATAGAAACTGAATAAGTATTAGTTATTTCCTTAAGCATAGTTTATTCTCTCCATTATCTCTATTCTATTCATGTAATTTTTGTACTTCTGTTATTATAACTATTTTATTTTATTTAATTTTTATTTTTTGAAGTTATAGATGCATTTAGTTCATTTAAATAGTCAAATATTTCTACAGGCTTAATTCATAAAAATGTCACCTTTCCTTCTCTTCCCTGTGTGTCTTCTGTCCTCTCTTTACTTCCCCGGGCAAATATGTAGCTGTTTTTAACATCTTTAGTAGCTACTTACGTTTTATATTTACCTTCCTTTCTCTCAGTTATGTGTGTGTTTGTTTTTCAATTTCATCCATTATATTGACTTACCGCTCTGAGAGATAAAGCCTTAACTCAGCCAGGCGCGGTGGCTCACGCCTGTAATCCCAGCACTTTGGGAGGCTGAGGTGTGCGGATCACGGGGTTGTTAAGAGACCGAGACCAACCTGGCCAACATGGCGAAACCCCATCTCTACTGAAAATACAAAAATTAGCTGGGCGTGGTGGCGTGCGCCTGTAGTCCCAGCTACTCAGGAGGCTGAGGCAGGAGATTTGCTTGAACCCGGGAGGCAGAGGTTGCAGAGAGCCAAGATTGTGCCACTGCACTGCAGCCTGGTGCCTGGCAACAGAGTGAGACTCTGTCTCAAAAAAAAAAGCCTTAACTTTCACAAATTCTCATGTACACCACTACCTGACTTTTCCCCTTTTCTCATTTTTTCCCAAAAGGGATCATTTTGTGTTAAGTCAACAGTCATTATTTATATTATTATGACTATGTAAATATTATTGTTCAATGATTACATTTCTTTCTTGCACAACTTTTGGTCCCTTTAAGCTAATGGTTGTCTCCCATTTTGGCTTTCTTATTTTTCTTTATAGCTAGAAACTCTTCAAACATAACACTCTGATCTTAGTGTAAATATTCTCTCAACACGTTGGTACATATCTGGTATTCTCATTGATTTGGTCTTCCTAGAGACCTTCCTCCCCAGACCTGCTGATCACCTGCTATCATCCTCACTAGGTCTGCTGCCCATGGGCCAGCCCAGGATTGCACTTGACTGGGATCTCTTACTTAAGAATAACAAAATGAAGTTGATTCGAAGTTCTGTATATGATTGGGATTTATTGTCTCGCTCTGTTACCCAGGCTGAAGTACAGTGGCACAGTCTTGGCTCACTGCAACCTTGGCCTCTGGGTTCAAGCTATTCTCCTGCCTCAGCCTCCCAAGTAGCTGAGATTACAGGCGTGCACCACTATAGCCAGCTAATTTTTTGTATTTTTAATAGAGGCAGGTTTCACTTTGTTGGCCAGGCTGGTCTCAGACTCCTGACCTCAAGTGATCCACCTGCCTCAGCCTCCCAAAGTGCTGGGATTACACGCATGACCCACCTTGCCAGCCAACATCATCCTCTTTTAAGTGTGATGTTCTTCACTGTATTTGGTGTCTCCATGTTCAGTGTCTCACTCTGAGTTTTCTGCTGAAGTAAGGAAGGAACAGGCATCCGCATTGACTGGGTGTGTGAGGATTCCAGAGGACAAGCCATTTCACAGTCAGAATTTCATCAAATCCTCCTGCTTCTGGTCTCTTTTGTAGCCCTACTCTATTAGGTAGCTGGTGTTGACAATTTCTAAGCCTTTCTTGGTTCAGTGATACAAATGGCATTCTCAGCTTCCCTACTAAGAACTTAGGTTTTATAATCCTTTGGATATATACCCAGTAATGGGATTGCAAAGACCTGGAACCAACCCAAATGCCCATCGAGGATAGACTGGACAGGGAAAATGTGGCACATATACACCATGAAATATTATGCAGCCATCAAAAACGATGAGTTTGTGTCCTTTGTAGGGACATGGATGAACCTGGAAACCATCATTCTCAGCAAACTGACACAAGAGCAGAAAATCAAACACTGCATGTTCTCACTCATACGCGGGTGTTGAACAATGAGAACACATGGACACAGGGAGGGGAGCACTACACACTGGGGTCTGTTGGGGGAAAATAGGATAGGGACGGTGGGGGGTGGGGAGTTGGGGAGAGATAGCATGGGGAGAGATGCCAGATGTAGGTGAAGGAGAGGAAGGCAGCAAATCACACTGCCACATGTGTACCTATGCAACTATCTTGCATGTTCTTCCAATGTACCCCAAAACCTAAAATGCAATAAAAAAAAAGAACTTAGGTTTTAGGTTCCCCCTCAGGTCTTAACATTACTGACACTTACCTGCTTTCCAACTAGAATCTTATTACTATCTGTTCTCCTGGCCCCTGTACATTTATGCTTTTTCATTCTTTTGTTGTCATTTCAGTGGATTTCTATGGCACAATGGAGATGAGGGCATATGTGCAATCTGCCATCTTTAGCTAGGATACGTCATTGTATTTAGACTTAATTTATTGTTAAGCATCTCAAATCATTTTAATAAGTAAACAGGGTATAACTAAGGAGCGAATAAACAAATGCATAAATATAAATTTACTAGTCATAATTTAAATACTTATTACAGACAGCTTTTTCCACAGTGTTTTAAATTTCTGTTTACTAAGGGTCTCTTCCTTTTTCTTTTGAATACAGATGGAAGTTTTAGACAAAGCCGATCAAACGTCACCTCCCTGTTAGTACAGCCCATATCTGCCTCCCTGGTTGCAAAACTGATCTCTTCGCCAAAAGCTAGAACCAAAAATGATGTCTGTAGCCCTCTAGAGCTTCCAAATAATGGTAAAGTATTTAATGTCTTTCTCTGTATTTTATAGTTTTTGTAAAGACCATGATCATTTTTAATTTCCGAAACTGGCATGTGTAGGATTATTCTTTTCAAAAACATTGACTTTTGACGAAGTAAGCATTATTTTCTTCTGTGGCTCTTTAGCAGCATGTTTGGAAAGTAATTTTTATAAAGACTGAGCGTTGACCAAAATGAGAGATTAGAAAAAGAAACCATTTTGAACTGCTACAAAGAAAAATAGCTTTATAAATAAAGCATTTTGTACATTCATGAAAATCTGCTTAACATAGCTTCCCAGTTTCAGCTTCAGCAGTCTCATTGCCTGCCAAGATTCAGTGGATAGCAGGCAGCTATCTGGGGTATGAAGTCTTTTAGTATAAAGCATTAAAGCCTAATTCCTGCAATTGACTAAAAAATCCCTCTGTCTATATGCATCATCACCTGAGAGGTGCTTCTTGTACAGCAGTGCAGTTTGTCAGGCCTTGATGGACCACGCAGGAGAAAACGGAAGTAGTTAAGCTACCTGTGGTGGGATGAAAGTCATGGGCTGCATCTTATTCCTGCTTCCAGCCTCAGTAGTAGAGTTCTAAAGAAAAGACTCTCTTTGCAAGTTGTTAAATTTGTACGTGTTTGCTGGGAACAACTTGTGGGCTCTGTTTTCTGTGTCCTCCAGGCTCAATAATCATGTTTTATCTCAACTGTTTTTCTCTTGACAACAAAAGCCTACCAAAAAGAAAACATGTTGAGGAAATCTGTAAAAAAAAACTTAATACATTAATGATTTCTCTGTTGGGGACATATGCTTTACAAAATCCTGTAGACTGACAGCCTCCTAAACTGATTACCAATTAAACAAGGTGGGAAAATAGAAAACAATAATAGGTCGATGTTCTAAAAGCAGGAATGAAGAAGCTCTCCAGGAGCTTTTTGTTTTGTTTTTCTTCTGCCATTTATTCTGAGCCCAACAAGTTGATTATGGGCTCCATTTGTTAAAATATGTAAACGCCACCACAATAATAGCTTAGTTGTAAGAAGTGCTGGACTTGTAAAAGACCATAGTTAAGCCCAGATCTACATAATTAATTAATTCAATACATATTCAGAGCTCCCCAAGACACCCCAGACAGGGTCCTCCCCTCAAGGAACGGACAGTCCCCGTGCTGGCTGAATGTCCTCGTCTATGTGGCCTCCCACTGGAAACATGAATGCCTGCACCCACAAAAGACAGCTGCACCTTTATTATCTGAAGTGGTTGTGAGAACCCAATTATGATATGTGTATCAATTCTTTTGTTTATTTTTTGTGTTATATGTTATGTTACTTTTTTTTTAAGACAGGGTCTTGCTCTGTCATCAGGGCTACAGTACAAGTGGCTTAATCATAGCTCACTGCAGCCTCAAACTCCTAGGCTGAAATGATCCTCCCACCTCAGCCTCCCAAGTAGCTAGGACTACAGGTGTGTGCCACCACATTAGACTAATTTAAAAAGTATATATTTTGGTAGTCACAGGTTCTAACTAAGTTGCCCTGCTGGTCTTGAACTCCCTGGATCAAGTGATCCTCCTGCCTCAGCCTTCCAAGGTGCTAGTATGAGCCACTCTACCTGGATTAATTTTCTTGTATACTGTAAAATGTTACATAAATATTAAGAAGTATCTTTGTTATCCAATAACTACTTTTTACAAATAAATTTTTGAGACAGGTCTTACTCTTGTTCAGGCTGTAGTACATGGCTCACTGCAGCCTCAACCTCCTGGGCTCAAGTGATCCTCCTGCGTCAGCCTTCTGAGTAGCTAGGACTACAGGCACATGACATTATGTGCAGCTAGCTCTTAAATTTTATTTTAGAGACAGGATCTCACTATGCTGCCAGGGCTAGTCTCAAACTCCGGGGCTCAAGCGATCCTCATGCTTCAGCCTACCAAAGTGCTGGGATTACAGGAATGAGCCACTGTGCCTGACCTAATTACATTGTCTTAGCAAAGCAAGATGACACTCTTCAGCAGCATTTCCATAATAAATTAACAACAGGCACGAAGCCTACAAGAAAAGTTGAGATATACACCAGTGTTAAAATAAGAAAGGCAGGTCCACTTTCTAAGGGATTATGACATGTGAAAGCAAGAAAGATAGGCCTGCTTTCTAAGGGATTGTGACATATGAAACTTTTCTCATGGATATTGTTATGTTTTTAGAAAATTCAAAAATATATTTAAATCATTGAGAAGACATTTCATGTTATAATGAGCTATTTATTTTTTAAAAGTCAGAATATACATTTAGATTTTCCAAATACTGACTGAGTCTGTTCAATTAATATTTGGAAAATCTAAATATATAATTCCATATTAATGTATAATCCTACATTAAACTAAATTTAATTAAACCTAAATTTAATGTAGGATTATAACTCTTTACACTAATGTTTTGGACAATAATGCTCATAATTTATCTGACATAATTAGGTTTCCTTCTAGATATTATAAAACACATTAGTTATTCACAGTGATGTATATCAGGATGGGACATGAAAAGGAAACTGAAGGAAGTACTCTAATTTTAAGCAATAATAGCAATGCTTATTGTTTAAGGGTTAAAGAAATAATTTAAAGCATATTGTAATTATAACATATTGTTGACTTTTCTAAGTATAGTCCTGATCTTTAGTGTTGGAAAATCTTCACTCAACAAGTCTGGAAAGGGCACATTAAGAATATGTGTGTGAATCCACTAATTATTTATCCTACCCATTTAACTCTTTATCTACACTAAATCAAAAATCTCTAAAATCCAGACAAAAATGTAATAGAATTTTTCTAATACAAAATCAAGGACTATATTTAACAACTCCAGTGTTAAAGTGAGTAATTGTTCAAATTTCAGAAACTGAGTCTTGGTCCTGTTTTTCCAGACTGGGATTATCCTTGAACCAATCATCATAATATAGTTGATGGAGTCTATCAATAGACTTGAGTCAGCCAGAATCTATTTCTAGGAATGTTGTCAAAGCTACTCATAAAATACTGATGGAAAATGTTGGCAACAGTTCAGAAAAGGAAAGTGGCAAACAGATGCTGAAAAAGCAAGTGTAGTTCAAGAATAATACAAGTCTAGCTAAACATGACCAAGACTCAGTTTATAAATTTTAAGCAATGACTTACTTCATCATTATTAGAGATGAACAAGAAACCATGGGATCTTTCTCTAGCCATCTTGAGAGCAGAGGAATACATCCTACCTGAATAAAGTCAACATAGGAGGAATCAGATGAGTAAAAGGGAAAGCTAGAAATAGAGATAGAGAGAAGATGTGGGGAAAGATAGAGAGAGAGAGAGAAAAAAAAAAAAAAACCCTTGCCTACATTATTTGAGCCCTAAATAAAGCCTTGTCTTAAGCCAAATCTATTGAACTTTTCATACATATGAATCAATACATTCCTCCTTTGTTTCAGTTACTTATGTTTGGTTTTTACTTACTTGCAACCAAAAGTTATCTAATTGATACAGACCATAACACTTAAACTAAACAAAAGAAATAAATGCCTTCATACATGAAATAGTCTCAGTAAATTGAAGTGGACAGCGGGGCATTTATATGGACATCACTGAGAGAGCTAAAATATATATATATATATATATATATATATATGAGGAATGGAGAAAGAATCAAGAGAAAAGTTATTGCCTAAATAGTTTGCATTGATTAGATAATTGGATACTGACTCCATTTCATTTCAAATGGTCTTTTTATATATAGGCCTGACTCATTCATTCAGCATATTGTCAGTCTTTGTCTTTGAGGTTCAGTCAAAACATGGAAAACTTAATTTTCACATAGCAATCTCAGCTTTTAAAATTTATGTCTACAGCGATTAAAAGGGAAGAAGAAGCTTTAAAATCCATTATAATTTAGAGTAAAAACATAAATCAATCAAGTTAAAAATAAACATCTTAATATGTTTGATGATTCACTTATTTTTGAAAACATAACTGTTTCCATGTTGTTTAAAACATATCATCAGTGATGACAAAATTTTACATAAATTTGCAGGATGTTTCTTCAAGTGGATATACTGTATATTTTTGGCTATGATTTCCTTATTTACAATTCTGTATATTTTTGATGAAAATTACTTGATTATTAAAATGACATAATGTCTAACTGATAATCTCGTGTATAATTTTTACATATTTCTAATGCATTTTGAAAATCTATATTCCCAATCTGTTAGTAGTTACTTGAACCAATGCATTGTTAGCATTTCTTAAGTACAAATTTAAAAACATGTATTGAACGTATTATCTGCAAGTTGTAGTACACAAATATTTATTGACTTTTCGAGAATCATCTATTAACAGGAAATGTTAGTACAATTGAATGCAACATGATGTATTCTTTTTTTTTTATATTATACTTTAAGTTCTGGGGTACTTGTGCAGATCCTGCAAGATTGTTACATAAGTATATACGTGGTGGTTTTCTGCATCCATTCCCCCATCATCTACATTAATTATTTCTCCTAATATTAGCCCTCCCCAATCCCCCCATCCTCTGTTATCCCTCCACTAGATCCCCGCCCTATAACAGGCCCCGGTGTGTGATGTTCCCCTCCCTGTGTCCATGTGTTCTCATTGTTCAACACCCACTTATGAGTGAGAACATGTGGTGTTTGGTTTTCTGTTCTTGTGTCAGTTTGCTGAGAATGATGGTTTCCAGCTTCATCCATATCCCTGCAAAGGACATGAACTCACCCTTTTTAATGGCTGCATAGTATTCCATGGTGTATATGTGCCACATTTTTATTATCCAGTCTCTCCTTGATGGGCATATGGGTTGGTTCCAGGTCTTTGCTATTGTAAACAATGCTGCTGTGAACATATGTGTGCTCATGTCTGTATAATGGAACAATTTATAATCCTTTCAGTATATACCCAGTAATGGGATTGCTGGGCCAATTGGTATGTCTATTTCTAGATCCTTGAGGAATTGCCAC